AAGTAGATCGTGGAGATGGATTTCCAAGGTTTATGAAATGGAATGTCAGCAAGTTGGTCACAAAGATAAGAGCAGTGGACATCAAGCAGCTGCAGGATGTTGAAGTATGAATCTTGTACTACTAGCGTAAATAATAGATGTGGCAATTACTATTTTTGATTTTCAATTTTTATTTGGTTTGTAGGTTGTGGTAGGAGAGCTGCACATGAGTCATTCATAACGGAACATCACGAAGGTGAAAGACGTTAATGAAATTGGAGCAAATGCTGAATGTTCGTATCGCAGTGGGTGGGAACATGGGGTCGACAACCAAGACAATTGTAGATGGCAACATTTTGGGTTCAATTGATGGTATTAGTGTGCATGGACTGGACAACATAAATGGAAATGTTCAAAATGAAAAAGATGTCAACAGAGGTTTTGCTGAGAGTGATGGTCATTATAGGCAGTGTGCAACTACTTATGAAGAATACTAGAAAGCATTAGTTAAAATTGGTGTGCTCGAGATAGAACTCCATTGTAAATCTGATGTCGTAGTTGCGTTAGAGACACAACTGCCAACAATGAGGGCATCGTACGAAGAAAAATGTAGGAATTTAGCACATGAACTCAGAGTAGCCAATAACCAGAAGGACTGTGACATTGAAAGGATGAACCAGCTAGTGGATGAGCTTAACGACAAAAATGTGAAGCTTGTGGAACAGTTGGAGGAGTACGCAGTGCATGAATACACCCAGGCAACTGCTGGTGTATAGGAGATGAAACAAAGTAATCAGGGCATGTACCATTGTGAGGCAAAGATACTTGACATTATGTCATTGTCCACATCATCTCCATCTGATATGAATGAGAAGACAGAGTTATAAGGGATGGATGTTTATGTGAGCCCGATCGACGACATTGGGCATGTGGCGTGTGATGTGGATTTAATACCTGGGATTAATCAAAACACTGGAACAATAACTGCGTTGCAGAACTCGCTTGTGAGAAACATCAAAAAAGAAGAAGGAATGAGCATAAGCTGCCAGAGTATGAATATCCATTGGTACGAGGAAGGTTAATGAAACCATCTGATAGTGGTGTGGTCAATGGAGATGAGTGTGCTGGTAAACAAAAAATGCAAAATGAGATCATAGAGGTTGATGACCTTGCAGACCCGGATAGGATATTTTCTCGGTTTGACTTGACTAATCGTTTACCGATCTGGAAGTTGTTGTCAACGCAAGAGAGAGAAAGACAAGCTTAAAGAAGCATACGAGAAAGGTGGTGACAGATAGGTTTCGCAACTTACTCGTACCGTTTTGCATTTGTACATGAATTTAGTGTTCAACAAATGTCTTGTTTAACTGGTAGTGTGCAAGTCTGGATTGGGCAGAATGGTTCCAATTCTGTGTCTTTCAATGACATACGATCAATCGTTAAGGGGCTGACGTTATGAGGCCATGTAAGTATGGTATTCCTAATTATTCGTCAAACTTTTGAAGCTTCTGCACATTGAATGCAATTTACGTATATTTATACTAGAGAAGCAAAATCATACATGTTTTATTTTTGCACGTAGGTGATTGATGCATACGCAGAAATAATGATGTACGAGCAGCAGATCAAGGCACCTACATCTACGGATGAGGAAAAATCATACATTTTCAGCACATTATGTTTGGTAAGACGTGGCATTTGATGAATTGATTGTAGTCGTTTTTTGTTTGTGATTTTCAATTTAGAAATTGAATTTGTGCAGCCTACGATAAGAGATGTGGGCGAAGATGTATGTGACAGGTACTTGGCCATGCATGCCCTTCATGCCCTCAAGGCCAGATATATTCAATTCCCAATTCACTTAGATAACCATTGGACACTAATGGTGTATGACATTGAGGAAGGGTTTTGAATGCATTACAACTCAATGAAACCAAGACAGGGAAGGGAAGACAAACATTACTAGGCAGCGTGGTTGCTGGTTAGTAAACGTGAATTAATTACTTGTAGTGGTCTTTGTATTTTATTTTAGACAACAAAACTAATTACTTGTAATCTAAATTTGACAATAACATAGAAATCCTACTTTGAGGATTACATAACTTGGAGATTAAAGGTGGGCACAGTTGAAACACAAGACTTGGTAAATGAGGTTCTAGTGGTTGATTATTGTCCACAACAAAAAACAGACTCGTAAGTGTGTGTTACTATTATTTGCAACATATGCCATTCATGTTTCCATAAATTGCACGTAGTCTGTTTTGGCGTTGTTACTAATGACTTAAATTTTCGTAATAGGAATGATTGTGGAATTATAGTATGCTTCATTATGAAGCAACTTGTGCGTCACCTAGATGTGGACAAGTCAATGGGAGGGGAGAGCTGCAAAACGATGCGAGCGGGTATGGTGAAATCATTTGTGAATGACCGGAGAAGGTCATTTGTTGCTGGCGAGTGACTATCTTCCAATGGTGGTATATGGGTGCATCATTGATATTTTTGGTATATATTCACGGTTAATTAGTTTTCGAATAGTATAGTAAGTTTGCTGGTTTAAAAAAGTGAAATTTTTTGATGTTTTCGGTTGCATTGTCAATATGAATTGAGGAGTAATATATTTTGTTTTAGGAATTTGTTACAATGGTTAATTCATTATTTTTTGTATGCACTTAGTTTAGTTTATATGGCTTTATGTTTCATTCAGTAATGTCAGTAGGAAGTTAAGTGCGACAGGAATGTTGGGTACATAAGTGCGAATGTGGTTTTGTAAATGTGAATGTGAATGATAATGTGACTCAAAATTTGAGGTGAATGTGAATGTCAATGTTAGAAACGATATTGGTTGTTCATTTCATTTACCCAGATTCTGTTTGTGAATGTATGACAGTGTTTGTTACTCGTATAAGGGAGCAGGAAAATGCAAATGTGATTGTGGTTGTGTAAATGTGAAGGTGTGGGTCACTGTGATGTAATTGTGAAAGTAAATGCAAATGTAAATGATAGAACATGTATGGTTGTGTACCTGCAATACCCAGATTGTGTGTGTGAATGTATGACAGTGTTTGGTACTTGTATTAGGGAGTGGGAAAATGCAAATGAGAATGTGGCTTTGTAAATGTGAAGGAGTATGTTACTTTGATGGTGACTGTGATAGTGAGTACAAATGTGAATGACAGAATAGGTATGGTTGTCTACCTGTAATACCCAAACTGTGTTTGTACATGTATGCCAGTGTTTTGTACTTGTCTTAGTGTGTGTGCAAAAGCAAATGTGAATGTGGTTGTGTAAATGTTAATGCCAAATAAAATGTAATTGTGAATGTGTAGCTGTATGTGAATGTGGATATGTAGTAACTGTGCGTGAGAAGGTCATAAGGGATCTTGGTTAGCCATATGCAGTTCGTATATTGTGATGGTCAATGTATGACAGTGTTTGGTACTATTAATAGGGAAATTGAAAATGCAACTAAACAGATTGACGATTGATAACATGCCGTTTGTTGTCTACGTTGCTGAAATTGTTGCTTTAGACATTCACGTTACGTGTCGATGGTGGATTGTTGTTATAAAATTAGACTTCCCATGTATACTTTGCATATAATGAACGCGAATGTGTTGCGGTCTTCAATACTTGTGATAGGATGTTAAGGGTGGTGGGTTTTCTTAGATAGATGTGGTTCAGTTGTCTGTGTATACCTCAAAATTTGAAGTTGCCATTCAGTAAGTATGTATGCTGGCACATTAACGTTTGGGTGTGATTTGGCAAATTAATCTGTCAAGAATATGTTGTATTTTAAGATTGATTAATGGGTTTCACGATAACCTGTGTCATACTGAGACAATAACACCAACATGACCTAGTTTACAAAACTATGTCTTCTCACATACTAGGCCAGTGTGCAACGCATCACCCAAACATATTCTGTTGGTTTTAAACATATGATTCCATGACCAAATAAATAAACATGTAAACCTAACATATGAATGGCAAAAACAGCTGAATGATCAAATAAAAATAATGTGTTTACTTATTAAAATTTGACATCAATTTGTTTCGATACATTCTACTACAAGAATTCAATGTTGCTATTGAAAACTGATTGAAAAACTTCTGCTCTAAATGTCTATTACTAAATTGGTTCTTTACATGTCTTTCGGTTGTGGCTATCCATGCGGCCACATCGACCGCACCTGATCTGACTTAGTCTCTCTCCCCGAGATGGTATTCAATTCTTCTTGGGTTGCCCTGGAGGACGTTTAACTGCCGATGGATATATGATGAAGTCATCTTCCGAGATTGAGGGTTTGTCAACTGTTGGGATAAGCTAAATGTATCTGGAATAAGCTGCTTTGTACTAATCGACGGTGAAAAATTGTTTAACATATGTACTAAAATCCCTTCCACTATTCTGTATTGCAACCATCGCATGTGCATATGGGAATCCGTTCAATTGCCACTGGAAACATGAACATGAACGTTTGCCAACATCTACCAACATCGTTGAAAATGAATGGACCTCGTATATGTCTTCATTTGCCTGGCTAACAATCCATATGCAACCGTTGGAGTACGCCTCCCTAACACGGCTTTCCATTTTCGGACAAAGTAACCCATTGCAATTAGTAGCCAATGCTTTACGCTCAGCCCTCATAGTCATTATCTGATTCCTGATTGTATTAACCAACCTTGTGATTGGGTAATTACGGGCATCAAATATCTATTTATTAAACGATTCTGCAGCATTCGAGGTCATCTCCCCATACCGTTTGCCCCTATTTACATTATGAAACATAATGAAAATGTTATCACAATTTTGGGTACTTTCAATGTTAGCACGCGTAAGTATCGTACAAACCTAAAACACGCGTTGGCCCAATGCCTCGGTGGCATATCTTCCAAGAAAGTATTTATTCCAGATCGTCCTGATCCTTAGCTTAGTCAAATGTTGCTGAAATGAAGCCTTGGTTGAAGCATATGCACATTCACGCAACTTGGCCATTAAACCAAAACGGACCCGGTTGTCAACCCATCGTAATTTGTCCCTCAAATTTGTTACGATCAGATACGAAAGTTAATGTGTAAGCACTACTGACAACCTTTGTCAGATGCTGTAAAAACCAAGTCCAATTTGCAGTTGTTTCGGAGTCAATAATAGCAAAGGCTAATGGGAATAAACCTGGCAGATTTGACAAGTTTTACATTAGATGTGTATTATTTTTAATGAAGGTTACATTCACATTAACAATTGTTCACAATTCAAATCGCATCATACACAATGTTATGAAAATAACATTAAATTGTAAACAATGTTGTCACTGGGGATCACCCACTGTTATAGTAAACTAATAAAAATTGTTTAGTGACAATGTGATGCGTTACTATATGGTATTTTGAAGTAATCATAGTAAGACACGTATCTTTATTGCCATCCTTCCTCGTCGCTGCAAGCAAATTGCCTTTAAATCTCCCTTTTAAAAAAGTGCCATCAAGAAACAATAATGGGCGGATATGGTTAAATCCGTCAATGCAAGATTTGAATGATATAAAGAACCGCTTAAATCGACCGGTTGATTGCTCGAAATCCAAGTTGACATAACTCCTAGGGTTGTACTGCATAACCTCATCCGTGTACCACCTTAGTTGATCGAATGAAACATGATAGTCACCATACACTTCGCCTTTTGCCTTCTCCACACCTAACCATGCTATGTGGTAACTAACATTCAGGCCGTACTCTTTCTTTAGGTCAAACACGACGTCCGTGGGACGTGTAAGCAGCTTATCACGTAACCGATCACCAATAACATTGCAAACCAATTTAGAGTTAAGTCTACTATTCTTACCAGTGCGAACAACAGCCCCACAACTATGCAAGTTGTTCAACCTCTTCAAATAAAAATATCCATTGCATGTTTGAACCTTTCCATGTATCAACCGTGTACACCCTTTTTTCTCTTGCAACGTGCACACTGCCGTGACCCTCAGTGAATCATTTTTTACAAATTTGAAGTCAAACCCACACTCAATAGCATATTTGGACAGAACCAAACGGAAAGCAGCAACACCCCCTTCAAAACATTGGTCTATGTGACTAATGCCGTGTGACTAATCAATTGTCTTCAAAGTTTTCTCACTGTGATGACAATAATTGGGCAGCAAATCTACGCTGGGTTCGGGACCCTGAAATTGTTCACTGTTATGATCCAATTGATTTGCGGATATAGTCCCACCGAATTGACTATCTCGAATCAAATTATCCACCTTATTTTTCAATTCTATCGCAACGTTGATATGGGTAACGCCAATGGACCTTGCAATGAAAAATATGTTCTCCATGTCCACATCATTACTCATCATGAATTGGTTCTCGTGACACGGTAGTTTGTAAGATATGGAAATCGAAGATGGTGTCACATCCAGCCACTTCTCACATAAATTTTGTACCAATTGTTTTAATGTCAATCCATTAACACCCCTGACAACAACAGTGGATCAACCAAAGGTGCAAAAAAGCATAATGTCCATATCCTGTGCAACAAACTAAATGAAGCATTAACCGTGTGACGACATTCTACAAAAAACAGAAGAATAATGCATGGAAGAAATGTGATATGCAATCAAATGTTAGTGTAGTAAGGTTGACATCGTACAACGTGGTACAACCCACATTCAATCACAATCAATCACAAAGAAATTTTATATTTGAACAATGACAACCCAAATTGAATAATATATAATGACAAGTTATAGTAACATTAAAATACATTCCAATAATTCCAAACAACCAACAATAGTGTCACATTCAATTGGGAAAAATAGAAATCAGAGAGTTTGCGAAACGCAACGTGACACATATGTCCACAGTAAATACAACATTTGGACAACAAAATACAGAAACCATGATCATATCCATGTGTATGTGAGTTATATTCACATACATTCCACTAGTTTCCACAAACAAGCAACTGCTACATTGAAATGGAAAAAAAAAAGAGCCAATAATTTTGTGATCCATAATGTGACACATATGTTTTGAAAAAGTACAACCCAGACAAAAAATGACAAACATTGCAGGTGTGGTTTAATATTACAACCTAAAAGGAACAACCTTTGAGTCTAACGGAATTGTGCCAATGCATGGCTGTCACATTTCGCACACCCCACCAACATTCTAACATTCTCACTTTCTAATTTAATAAGCGAACGTAAATTACTTTTACGAAACGTAATGTGACACGTATAAGAACATTACAATACAATAGCATTAGCACGGAAGTTGATGCGAGATTACCATTACAAAGTCTGCAAAGGATGGGTATACCAGATTTCGAAATCCATACGATATATGAGAACATTGAAACAAAACAATCGGGAAAAACACAGAGCGACACTCACCGATTGAAGAAAGCAGACAGCTTTATCTCATTCCCTCAAACAATCTGAGTCCAGATCGGCCAGATGAAACAACCAAACCTTCCAAACCAGTAAAATTTTGAAAACCCAACAGCCTCCGCGATCATGGCGTATATCATGGCACCAACCAATTGGGAAACAATACGATTAAACACATGGATACATATATAAAGGGTATACTAGTAAACTAATAGTATTTAAACACAATAGTTAGGACTTTATGGAACACTTTCTAATTTAAATAGGACTTCAAACTGTAAAAGAAATTTCATAGGACTTCACATTACATAAGTCTCCATAATAAGACTTATAAATAATTTTCCCTAAAATAAAATATTTAAATAAAAATTATATATTTAAAATAAAAAATATTTTTTTTAAACATTTTTTAATATTTTTAAAAAATAAATCCAAAATTACTGTTCCAAACACTTTTGTTTCTTCCAAACTTATCCTCCAATCAAAAAATATTTTTTAATATTTTAAAAGGTAGTGCAATAAAATAATTTATTATAAAAAAAGTAAAAAAAGTAACACTGTCTGAAATAATTTAACAAAAAAAAAAATCTTAATATTAACAAATAAAATAAGAGAGATTACTGTAATTTCTCAACAATCTCAGAGGAGGTGAATGTACTCCTAAAATTAAAGCGTTAAAACTAAATTATTGCAAGAACACGGTAAAGTTGGTGTGAAAGTTGAGCATGTCATCATTTTGGGACCAAATTCATCGACGGACGGTACACGAAAAGAGTCAACGTTTCCATGACCAACGTAACACCATCTTATAATGGATCAACGGCTATCACCACATCTATCAAACCAAAGCATGCTTTATCCACTGCCACGTGTCCATCAGTTACCCAGTTGTGTATGTCTGTCACTCCCCTTCTTACTCCACAATCCTAGCTTCTGCAAGAAGAGACCCCTCTCTCGCTCTCTCTCCCTCCCTCTCTAGCGTTGATGTTGCTATATTCCACTGTAAATGTCAATTCGTCGTAACTAAACCGAAAACGAGACAATATTTGGAACTAGGGTTTGTGTGAGAGATGTATCTCTCGGAGAAGCCTCTTCCAATTGATTTCTACAAAGGAGGAGGAGGAGGAGGAGAGAGAGATATGGTGATCGAAGTCTCCTCCAATGGCGAGCTGCCACCTCATCACCACCATCTCCAACAACAACAACAACAGCAGCAGCAGATGATTCTGGGCGATAGCAGTGGTGGCGAAGACCACGAAGTGAAAGCACCGAAGAAGAGAGCGGAGACATGGGTTCAGGAAGAGACTCGGAGTCTGATCAGCTTTCGCAGAGAAGTGGATGGGCTTTTCAACACTTCGAAATCGAACAAGCATTTGTGGGATCAGATCTCGGCGAAGATGAGGGAAAAAGGGTTTGATCGATCGGCGACTATGTGTACTGATAAGTGGAGGAACTTGTTGAAGGAATTCAAGAAGGCAAAGCACCAAGATAGGAGCAGTGCTTCCGCTAAAATGTCGTATTACAAGGAGCTTGAGGAGTTGCTTCGAGGTAGGAGCAAGAATGGTCCCTACAAGAGCCCCAGCTCTTCGAAAGTCGATTTGTATATTCAGTTTTCAGATAAAGGTAATTAATTACTTAAATGTGATGTTTCTGGTTTAATTTGTTTTGGGTAAGTATGAATTATGATGTTTGAGACTTTAGAATTGGGAACTATAATTAGAATAAAGTGTATATTGTTGCTTCATAAGCATTTCTGTAGTTACTTCTTAGGTTTTTTCGATGGGCTTTCCGAAACGAACAACTCCTCGGGGGGGGGGAATGTTGTTTCAGAAAGCGATGAACCAGCGTCCAATGTGCTAATCAAACAATGCCGGCAATTTCTTTGTTGGGTAGTTCTTTTCTTTGTCTTGACTTTCATTTCCATGAATTGCATTAGCTTATGTTTCTTTGGATGGGTAATGCAATACGGTATGCAAGTTATGACATTTGTGTAGTTGATCACCACAAATGTCATAACTTAATTCTATGGGAGTCCTAAAGAAAAAAAAACTTATAACCAAATCGCACATGAGCTATAACCAAAAGCTTTTAGGTCATAACCAAAATAATGTCGTAACCCACATCACAATGAGTCATAACTAATCCCACAATGTGTATAACCAAGTTGTAACTAACATCTCAATAGGTCATAACCAAAACAAAGACCTCATCGTAACTAAGGGGCATATGAGGTATGTACCATATATATTTTCTTCTCGGATGACTCAATTTTTACTATGGCTGAGTAAAGAAACTGAAAAATTTGCAAACCGAATTGGTCTAGACCAATCTGGTAGGTTTGGTTTGTTTTTTAATTCGTGGTTTGGTTCTGGTTTGGAAAATTGGGAAATGGGTCTCTGCAGATTGGTTCCAGATTTAGGTTCATGATTTCGGATTTGAACTGAACTGGAGTTAGATATTATGTTTGTTTAAGTTAATGATAAAATAATGTGCATCCTTATACTTTGAAAGTTAATGTTTGGAAAAATCATGACAGATTAATGTTGAACAATATTTGCTTAATGTTATGTTTTTGCTTAACTGGTCAAAACTATGAGAGTAATTTGTTTGATGGGCATGTTATTATTAATTTTAAAATTTATGATATGTTGAATTGTTTTTGCAAATGTTATATGGTTTTTCTTGTGAATAGATTATGGGAAATTGTGGTTCCAAACTGAACTGAACTGAATTGAACCGTGTTTAAATGGTTTGGTTTGGTTCCAATTTTTATGGAACAATAAACAATGGATTGGTTCTGGTTTCATCCCAAACCAATCCAAATTGGACCATACTCCTAATTTGTACAGCTATGATTGCATGTAGGATTTAATGAGGGAAAAGAAAAGGAAATGAAATTCCTTGTTAATCTTTTTTTGGTTAACTAAACAAACAAATGATTTCTTTTTTGTTTTTTTGAGAAATGCCCATTCATTGTCTTTGACCATCCAAACAGAAGCAAAGAATGTAGCTTCTCTCCTTCATTTTCTTTCTCATTTCCCTCAACAAATCCTTGAACCGAACAAAGCTTTAATGAAGCATATTTTTCACTTCCTGCCATAAATGTCATCGTAACCAAATGGAGGGTTTCACTGTTCCTTGACTATAAACTTATATATCTATGTGTGTTTAATTATGCCTAAATACCTTTTGGGTGACACTATTTCCTGTTTTGACTTTTGCCAATTCTAGCAGCATGAGTTTCATGAGATTTTGTTACTATTACCATACATGTGAAGTTGGTTGTTTATGTTGACATTTCTATTTTTTGCTTTCTGTTATGGAAATATGTTGTGAAAGGGTGCTTTCTTTTGTGTTTAAAGATATTACTTACAATTATCTTTATTTGGACCCGTACCTCTCCTGCAAAGTCATCATCAGTATTAGTTCTAGTTAATGATTTATTTGTTACTCTTTCTCAGGCCTGGAGGATGGCAATATCCCATTTGGACCAGTAGAAGGTACTTTGCTGCAAATTGACTTATCATTGATTTCAGTACATTTGGTATTTTTAATTTATTTTTTGTCAAGTTAAGAGTGCAATCTCATTTATTTTTTTAGCTTCAAAATGATTTTCTTTTCTCCTCCTGGTGAAAAAAAAACCTTTGCAAGGGTATTTAATTTTTTCTCTCTTAAGCCATTAATAGGCTTAATGGTGCGCTTTAGTTCACAAACCACATGTGGGTTGTGTGCTTATTTCCAAATGACAAGGCATGTCCACATGCACCAAACCACAAGCTGGTAACATGAAATTTGCCCTTGAGCTAAATTCAAATTGTTTTAGATTTAGTTATATCTGATGCTATTTTTCCCCCTTTGCACTGCACTTTGATGGCTTTGCTCATAATGATCACACAATTTGTCAATTTCTTTGTGTAAATTGGTATTCAACTGGTCAACATCAGTGTCAAGTTTACACCTTGTGTTGTCAAAATGTCTAGCTGAATTCAGTCATTTTTTGGGAAACTTCTTATCAGGTACTAACCTTGTGTTTCAAGAGGTTTTCTCCATTTTACTGCTCAATTTGTAGAGTGCATTGCATGCATTAATTTTCAGTTCTGGAGTTAATTGAGATCCAAAATTAAATTTCTCAATATTTGGAGGGAAAAATATGATTTTGATAATGTTTGGTGTTGGGTTTGGGTCCATTAATTTCATTAGTTCAAATGGTGGCTTCATATACCTTCTGCACAGCTGTAGATCTCTTGACCTTTTTATAGAGCTCATATGCAGTCCCTTTGTCTGAAATACGTCAGGAAGCTGATACAGCAAACTTGATCTGGGCTAGGAGTCACAAATGACAATGTGTTGTTTGATATATCTTGTTATTGGTGTTTTTCGGAGTCCTTTAAACAATATTATTGTAATTTTATTCTTACTGAACTTGCATAGATTTATTTGATAGAATTTGAGTCCTTTTAAGTTACTACATTGGGTCGGAGTGGTTTTAGAAGATTTTCATATGGTTTGTAGATTTGATTGCTGCAAAACAAATATTAGGCTCTCAAATATGAATGAAATGCAGATTTGAGTCTTGATTAGGCTCTCTTCTTTCTCCTGTCCTCACCTCTCTCTCTCTCTCTCTCTCTCTGTATATATATATATATAAAATATGTATCTCTCTCTTCTTATCACCCTATTGGAAGTCACTTTTTTTTTCTCTCAAATCTCTTATGTTCTCTGTGCTGTATTCTCTATCTCTGTCTGTATCTTATTTCTCTTCTTTCTCCTCTGTTCTTATTTCTCCTCTGTGTACCTTAAAGGGGACTTTAAGACTTTAAAGTTTCACAAAGACGCTGAACATGAAAATTTGATGTTGGCCCTAGTCAGATGATTCCATTGAAAAATTGGTGGCAAATTCCTGAGAGAACTGAATAACAAAAAGAGACAAAACAATTAAGACAAGCTATTGGAGAAAAAAAGGAAGAAATATATAAAAAAGTAGTAGGTTTTTTTACTAGACTGTACTGTTTCAAATTACTGAAAGCTTTTGTTGTGCGGAGAGTGACTAGAACACTCAACCACACCAAAGGTTGATGATGGCTATGAATATTGAGAACAAGAACTAGATGGTTTGTTTGTAGAAAGGCCTAAGTTGACATGTTCTACGTGACTTATCCGTTTGAAAAGATTGGCTTTAACATCATAGTTTCTATAGTAGATATGTTACGTCATTTCCTTGGCAATTTCTAATTCATATGTGAGGTTTCAATTATGTTAGGAGGGACTAGGTATGCTGTGCTATTGGTACATGCCGTTCTAAAACTTTTTTCTGGCTTGAATTTCTAAACATGCTTGTGCTCTGTGTTCAGCTGGTGGCCAGTCAACGGTCAACCTCGAAAGACCTTTGGATCATGATGGTGACCCTCTTGCCATTACTGCTGCTGATGCAGTTGCAGCCAGTGGAGTGCCCCCTTGGAACTGGAGAGAAACCCCTGTAAATGGTGTCTATCTAATTCTTTTTTTTTTCTTCTTCTTTTTTTGATAAGTGGAAATGGTATCTGTCAAATTTTGGTGGTGATGTTCAATCATTTTACATTTTCTGACATAGTATGTTTGAAAAAATACTCATTCTTCTTAATGTACATTTTCTGGCAAAGTATCAATTTTTTTTTTTGGGGGGAAAAAGAATGACTTTAGTGGCTAGTGGAAAGTGTATTTAATAGTTTTATTCAAGGCACATACATTTTGGATTTTTGGGTCACTATTTTTTGTGGGAAAAAGATAGGCATTGCTTCAAAACTACTGAATGTTTTACACACCAAACCCATGTGTGTGGTGTGTAAAATATCCGGTAGTTTAGTAAGGGTTCGGTAGCAAAACTGTTTTTTGTGTGCCTTGCAAACATCTAATGGTACACTTTCATTGCTGGAGCTTCTAAGCCTTTACCTGTATGCATAGTGATCATTATGCCTTTGACTTGATTCATCTTCTCACTTAGGGTTGGTTTGAGATGTTCTAAAAAAGTACACTTTTTGACTTATTGGCTTATTTTGGTTGGGTTTGGGTTGGGTTTGATGTGATGTGTTAGAGAGGTGATGTGATTTAAATAAGATGATGTAACTTAAATAGGATAGTGACTTTTTGACTTTATGTAATTCGGAGTCTTGACAGGAACATGCCTTTGGGAAATTACACTCTTCACCTTGATGAAGGTAAAAATGGACGTCCTTTTAGTTTTAACACATATCTGCAACTTTGGTAGCAAGGATTTGGTTAAGTGAGCTTTTATTTTTTATTTATTTTTCCCTCTCGTTTCTGTATGGTAGGAATCTCAATAAAAGTATGCCTCTATGATGATTCTGACCGAATGGCTGTTCGAACTGAAGACAAAACACTGTATACTGAAGATGAATTTCGGGATTTTCTCTCACGTAATGGCTTTACAGGTTTGAGGGAGATAAATGGCTATAGAACCTTTGATAATTTGGATGATCTCCGGCCTGGTGGAATGTACCAGGGGGTGAGTTCTGGGTGACTAGAGCTTTGTTATCTATGAATAAAGTGCTTAAAAATCATATATTAAAATCGGTTTTAGGCTCCCCCCCCGGGGGTCACAAAACAAGCTAGTGTAAATTCCATTACCATCTGAGTGATAGCATTGTGAATACATGCAATGTGGTCTCTTAGATGGGTGTCTTGTATTTTCCATGCTTGAGTTCATTTCATGGAAATTTTGTTTATTGACCATGATATTTTATGCTGTACCATAGGTACCATTAGGCCAATCCTTTGGTCTTGTGCCTTGCTAGCTTACCTATGAGAAAATTGATAATGATTATGATGAGAATAGTGTAATGCTTTAGACAGGGTTGAGATGATGTCATGTGGAGCATTTTTTTTGGGGTCAGTTTTCATATTCTGTTTTTTTCCTTACAATAATATCAGGTGTGTATGATCTCTGTAGCAGCTAGAAAAGTCTGGGAAATTGGAAGAGTAATTCCTTTGCGTACAATGAGTTGTGTGGATAAGAAAGTGGCAGTTTCTAACCTTCAAGAACTGATTATACGTTCTTTGTGTTCAAGAACAGTTTTTTTGGCTTTATGTTCTCTGTTTGTTTGACGATGATTGTAGCTTTTTGGGCAGTAGCTGCACTTATGCTAATATTACATTAGAGAATATAGAAATAGAGAGAAAATAGATGCAGATTTGGATCAACAGAGGGAGGAGGAGCAACAAGGGCAGTGGCGGCAGAACAGTGAAGCTGGCAATGCATGGAAGCAGTGTGTTTGAACAGTGAATGGTTAACAACAACTCAGATCTGGATCACTGAGGTTTGAATGATTGAAATAGATGTTGGTGGATGGTGGTCGAGGAAGTGCCAGCGAAGGTGGTGACAAGAGGCAGCAACTGAGAAGAGAACAGAGAATGAGAGACCGTACAGAGAGTTGTGGAGAGGAGAAAATATTATAGGGCTTTTAAAGGTTTTGAGATTGACCATTTACAACAATTTTTTTTTTTATATATTTTTATTCTTCTAAAATTAAAAAAAAATCAAAGTAGCAAGCAAATTTTCAATGAATTAGAACTTAATCAAAAAAGTTGAGGAGTGGTTTCTAATTTTCTCCTAATTAAAAAAAAGTTACTCAAAATAAAAAAAGAGCCAAAAATAAAAAATTCTCAAAGAAGCTGATACAATAGATTACCCAAAAATTAAAAAAAAAATAAAAAAAAACTTGATATAGTGGATCGGATAGAAGAAACACGTGATGTAGAGAGTCATTGAATTAAGGGTGCTGCAACCAGTCTCGGGAGTCTGTGTATGGTGTGCTGCTGAGTCCCTGATCTGATCTCTAAGCGAGTGGTCCCACTTTAAAAGTTCCGTATATTAATTCAACTCACGACAAATCCGCCCACGTTCCCTCCTGTCCATTTGTCTATAATATAACGTCCTCCTCCCCTTACATGTATATATATATATATAGCTTCCTAGTTGTATACACATTTCCCCATCGTGATCACTCTAACCCTAGGCTAGAATTACCAACACCACTACTACTCTCTCTCATTTCACTTTGTTTGCGAAGACTGTGGGCAAAATCAAGATCGGAATCAACGGTAAGTGATCTGATCTGTTCATCACATTTTCATTCGATCATTATGCATAACACAATACGATTTTGATCTGAAGTTATTTGTGTTGTGTTGTTTCAGGATTCGGAAGGATCGGCCGTTTGGTGGCGAGAGTCGCTCTTCAGAGCAACGATGTCGAACTCGTCGCCGTTAACGATCCGTTCATCACTATTGATTACATGGTAAAAATAACCATTTCTCTCACATTATTGATGATGATATCCATCATGATTATATGGATCGCTGGACTGTCTCGTTGTTCGCTATTTTTTTTTGATTGACATTTAGTGTAAGAAACGCATCAATCAGTCGCCATTCAAATTCTGATCTATTGTAGTTTCGATCTGAACTAATCATCATAGATTTATGTGATCCATGATTCTTATTTTGGAAATGTGTATTAGTACGATATGTTTGTATTGTGAAACTATGTAGTGGTTTCAGAATTGCTGTGATTTTGTTGTATTCATGTTATTTGCTTGGATGGAGTATATTTCATATCTATATATAATGTTTGCATATGTAAATTCATGGAACTAGCCCAACCACGCTGTGTTGTTGGAAATTTTTAGTTGCGTCCTAGGATGTGCTTTTGTCTAATCAAATGTTGTGAGATAACTTTACTGGATGCAACATAATCATGCAAAATTAAAGAGTCAATATGGAATTCATGCCACATACATAATAAGCACATGTATATAGCGACAGAATGTGTGAGGTTGCCTTTGTTTGAGTTTTGAAGAAACTTCTTGACAAAGAAAGTTCCAAAGTAAACTAGCATTAGACTATCTAGATGAATTGTTTTGCTCTAGCTTTTAATTTCCACATAGCTATATAATATGCATAACTTTTTTTTCTTCTTCTCTCTTTTTATCATGGACAATGGATTATTTGAACCCTCATAACCATTTCAGTGGCCCCAAGTCACCGCTAGGCCATGAAATCAATTATTGGATATCCATCTTTTGTTAACTTGATTTTGATTTTGTGCTGTACAGACCTACATGTTTAAATAAATATGATAGTGTTCATGGCCAATGGAAAAAGAATGAGCTTAAGGTTAAGGATTCCAAGACCCTTCTCTTTGGCGACAAACCTGTCACTGTCTTTGGTTCGAGGTATAGACAAACCTGTCACTGTCTTTGTTCAACTTTTTAAAAATCACATCCTCTGATTATTGATTATATTTTCTTTGCTTGTTATTTAGAAACCCAGAGGAGATTCCGTGGGGTGAGGTTGGAGCTGAATATGTTGTTGAGTCCACAGGAGTTTTTACTGACAAGGACAAAGCTGCTGCACATTTGAAGGTTTACCTTAATTTGCTGCTCTCTTAATATGTATTTTGGCTCATGCACACATACTTGAATGATATTGTTGATGAAATTCATCTGTATTGATGTCTGATAAAGACCCTTCTCTTTGGCTTAAGGATTCCAAGACCCTTCTCTTTGGCGACAAACCTGTCACTGTCTTTGGTTCGAGGTATAAACTGGTTCTCCATCTTTATATTTCAACTTTTTAAAAATCACGTCTTCTGATTATTGATTATATTTTCTTTGCTTGTTATTTAGAAACCCAGAGGAGATTCCATGGGGTGAGGTTGGAGCTGAATATGTTGTCGAGTCCACAGGAGTTTTTACTGACAAGGACAAAGCTGCTGCACATTTGAAGGTTTACCTTAATTTGCTGCTCTCTTAATATGTATTTTGGCTCATGCACACATACTTGAATGATATTGTTGATGAAATTCATCTGTATTGATGTCTGATAATAACTTTTTCATGAAAGTGTTTCATGTTGAATTTGTTTTCATGTTTGGCTACGTTGACCTTAGGTATTATTATTATTACATTCATAATCTAATCTTGTAATTGCTTCATAATACTTGTTCTGGTGCAATCTCCTGCACATAAATTTGAATGTTCTTTTGCATATTATGCTCAGTGGACAGTGTCGAGGGTCATTTTTAAAATTTTATTTATTTATTTTGTTGGTTTGTTGATGTTAATCAGTATTGCCCTGTTTTTTGTTTGATTACCAGGGTGGCGCAAAGAAGGTTGTCATTTCTGCTCCGAGCAAGGATGCTCCAATGTTTGTTATGGGTGTCAATGAGAAGGAATACAAATTAGATATTGATATTGTTTCCAACGCTAGTTGCACTACCAACTGTCTTGATCCATTGGCGAAGGTTGCTTTTGTACTTGGTTTCAGTTTGTATCATAACAAAAGACTGGAATGCCTATCTTATGTTTCATGCATATAAATCACTACAGGTTATTAATGACAAATTTGGCATTGTCGAAGGCCTCATGACCACAGTGCATTCAATTACTGGTGTGAGTAGTACTCATTGTCCTTTTTTCTTTAGATAAAGTGAACTTTTTTATCTTATTATTTCATGCCTTTCAGCAACAAAAAAGACTGTTG